GCGTGCGCGCGGGGCCAATTCGTGATTGGATCGTGGATGCTGCTTGAGCGACCCAACCCCATCCACCCTCACGCCGATCCACCCACGACTTTAGTCAAAGACTAGCAAGCAACACATCCTTCGTCACGTACTCACGTACTCACGCACCCACAACCCTCCCTAGTTGTCCCCCTCGAGTTCTTAGCTCGCGCACGCTTACTCCCACCCTCGCACCCCTCAACGTCCGCCAACATGTCCAGCACTTCGGCTCGCCTCGCCCGGCCTAAGGAGATCAGGGTCTGGCTAGATCCTGTCCAGATGGGCACTTTGCTCGAAGGTCTTCGACCTCTCAAGCAAAGGCATCCACGCTTCCTAAGCCGTCTGTTTGGGCGCATCACCTCAGAGGCCACCATCTTGAGGGATGCTGGCATCGAAGGAGAGCTTACCAAAGCTCTGGATTGGAGCGCGGATAGACAAAAGTGGCTCTGCGAGGAGCTCTTCTTCCACCTCAACCCGGGGCTTTCTCCACCCGACGTCAAGGCCCAGGTCGCGCTGGCCCACTTCAAGGCGCTGATCCATCTGAAAGCAGCATACGATGTGCTGTTTGAAGAGAAGCTCTTCGGCGTCTTGGAGAGGGGTTCGGGGGCACAGGGAAGTCACATCGAGGACGAGCTGGACCGGGTTGTTGGGCAGCTCTTGGCGTCGTTTCAGGCCGGACGCGGGGCTCAAACACCTTCCGCCCTTTCAACAGAGCCCCGATACCTGAAGGTCACCAAGGGATTGGTGCTTTGGGAACCACCTCGGAGCGGAGGTCGCCAGCCCGCTGAACCCTCGCAAGGCGTCGACTCGTCGACTCGAGAGGCGGCTCGAGAGGCGGTGGCTGGAGCGGTCAGGGATGAAGGGCACCAAGCAGCCGGAGCGGCGCCATCACGCCTTCGTCACTGGATGGAAGAGACGGTGAACCAGAATTTCCGCGCGGATGAAGGTCCTATCGTGAGGCCGCGAAGAGGAGTTGGCGCTGGTGCCAGGGCTGGA